AAAGAATACCTGAACAAGAATCTCTCCCCACCCACATACCACACAAATGAATATGCAGCCTTTTATGGAAGATCTTTAACATCATACAAAGTAGCCCACACTTCTTTTGTATACTACTAATTACTAGAAATTCTTCTTTATATCAAGCCCAATTTGCCTTTTTGCAACTTCCACCTGCTGCTCTTTGTTCTGCCCTATGGAGCCTAAGCAGAATAAGTCTAATCATTCTTCTATGTGACAGATTTTCAAATTAACAGATAGCTATCATGTTCCCTCTAACTTTTCTTTTCCACAGGCTAAACATTCTCATATCCCTCAACAAATCCTCATATGGAATAATCTTAAGTCACCCTACCATCCCAGTTTCATTCCTCTAAACATACTACCAAGAGTTTATCAATATTCATCCTTAAAATGTGGTACCAAGAACTGAACACAATACTACACATATGGACAGATAATGGCAAAATACAGTGGGACAATCACTTCCCTGGTCTTAGATATGATGTCTCTCGTTTAAAAAATCCTCAAATTGATGTAATAGAATACTATTGTGCTATAAGAAGTGATGAGCAGGCAGACTTCAAAAAAACATGGAAAGACTTGCCTGGACTGATGCCAAGTGAAGTGAGCAGAACCAGGAGAACGTTGTACACACCAATAGCCCCGTTGTGCAATGACTAATGTTGATAGACTTTGCCCTTCTCAACAATGCAAGGATCTAAGACATTCCAAAGGCCTCATGATGGAAAATGCTATCCGCATCCAAAGAAAGAACTATGGAGTTTGAATGCAGTTTGAAGCATACTATTTGCTATTTTTTTCTTCTGTTCTGTTTTGTTTTCTCTTTCTTGTGGTTCCTCCTATTGGTTCTAATTCTTCCTTACAACATCACTAATGTGAAAATATGTTTAATAGGAATATGTATGTATAGCCTATATCAGATTGAGCGCCACCTTAGGGAGGGACGCAGGGAGGGAGGGGGAGAAAAATTTAAAACTCAAAAGCTTATGGAAGTGATTGCTGATAAATTAAAATAAATTAATTTTTAAAAAATCCTCAAATTGACTACTGATTAGAGAAATGCAAATTAAAACAACTCTGACGTGTGACCTCACCTATCAGATTGGTTAATATGACAAAAAAGGGAAAACGTTGGATGTTGGAGGGGACATGGGAAAACTGGGAAACTGGGAAACTAATGCACTGTTGGTGGAGTTATGAACTGATCCAACCATTCTGAGCAATTTGGAATTATGCCCAAAGGGATATAAAATTGCATTCCCTTTGATCTAGCAGTACCATTGCTAGGTCTATAACCAAAGACACCTCTAAAAAGGGAAAAGGACCTATTTCTACAAAAATATTATAGCAGCTCTTTTTGAGGTGGCTAAGAACTGGAAATCAAAGAGATGCCCATCAATTGGGGAATGGCTAAACAAGCTGTGGCACATGATTGTAACACAGTATTATTGTGCTATAAGAAATGACAAGCAGGATGATTTTAGAAAAACCTTAAAAGATTTACATGAACTGACACTGAGGTGAACAGAACTAGAAGAACATTGTATACAGTAACAGTAATACTACTGGGAATGACTTACCTATTCTCAGCAATACAATGATCCAAGACAATCCCAAAGGACTAATGATGAAGCATACTATCCACCTCCAGAGAAAGAAATGATACAGTTTGAATACAGACTAAAGCATGCTATTTTTCACTTTCTTTCTTTCACTTTTTTTCTTTTATTCAATTCTTCTTGTACAAAATGACTAATATGGAAATGTTTTACATAATTGTACATGTCTAACTTATATCTGATTGCATAGAGAAGGAGAGGGAAGGAAGTCGAAGGAGGAATAGAATTTGGAATTCAAAACTTTAAATAAAAATGTTAAAAAACTGAAAAAAAGAAAGAAGAAAATAATGGGCCAAAAAAAAAAAAAAAAGGACCCAGAAACAACGTCCTAAGTCTCTTCTTCCTTATGGCCCTACAGACCTTGTTTTTTAATGTGATACTTCCAATGATAATCTATTTAAATAAAAGAAATGAAGATACCTGGAATTCTGAAAAAAAAATTCCTCAGATTGCATTATATTTTTTGGCTGCTACATTAAGTTGTTACTACTCTGAGTTTTCCAGTTCACAAACTTTCACATTCTTTCTCAAATAACCTGTGGTTTGTCCATGCCTTTCCCATCTGTTCTTAAGAAGTTGATTTCCTTAAACTAAGTGTAAGACTTTAGATTGATCCCCAAAATTAAATGACATCAAATTACATAACATATGTAAAAGCACTCTGCAAACCTTAAATGCTACATAAATTCTAGCTATTATTATTATTAAATTTCATTTCTTGTAATTTGGTCCAATGTTACCCTGTTAGAATTTATTTTTGGATCCTGGCTATTATCTAGTATGTTGTCCCTTTTGGCTTCATATCATCTGAAAATATGATAAGTATCCCATCTATGCCTCTATCCAAGACTGAAAAAGTGTTGAATAGTAGAAAGCCAAGAAAAAGATCCTTGGTGCCCAATAATGGATATTGCTTTCCAAGCTAATAGCAAATGATTCCTGGCTTCTCTCTGGGCCCTGCTATTCAACTAATCTAAAATTTATCTAATTATATTATCATCTACCTCATACAAATAATAAGATCACAGATTGAGAGCTAAAAGACCATTTAGTCTAAACCCCTCAACTCTTATCTTTTCTCCAAGAACAGCAGTAATCAAAGGCTTTACCAAAATGTAAGTAAACCATATCTACAGTATTTCCCTGATGTGCCAGTCAAGTAAGCCTGCCCCCAAAAAAAAGAAAAGAAAAGAAAAATGAAGTTAATCTGCAATAACCTGTGCTTAATAAAGCCATGGTGGTTGCTTGTGATCACCACTTCTTTGTCTAAGTTTTCATTAACCACTCTTTCAATAATTTATTATAGAATTTTTCAACGAATAGAGTTCAGGCTCACTGGTCTCTAGTTAGTAGTCTCTATTCTTTCCCCTTTTCTAGAAAACCTGAACATTAGTCCTTTCTCAAATCCCATCTTTACCCATTCTACAAGATCTTCCAAAGATTACTGGTAATAATTAAATAATTCTACCTTGACAGTTTTTGCACTGCTCTTAGAATGCAGTTTATCTGGGAGAGATATCAAACTACTTTGAAAGCACTGGTAGCTTGTAGCTCCCCAGCCTGGGGTGGTCCTGTTGTTGACTTTCTTGGGGTTCAGAGTATTGTGTTATTCCAGAATCTCAGGGACAACTCAAGGCCACAGGCTCCCCACCCCTGGGTTAGAGGGTACAACTGACATTTGAACCTCACATTCACCTAAAATGGACAAAAGAGGCAAAGATACACACACACACACACACACACACACACACACACACACACACACACACACAGTTGGTTACAGAAATACATTTCACTCAACAGGAAAACAGGTGGGAAAGGGAAGAGAAATGATGAGAGGGATGGTTTCAGAGAAGCCTGAGAAGACTTCTATGAACTGATGCAGAGTGAAGAGAACAGAACCAGAACAATCTATACAATGACAATATGGTAAAGACAAACAACTTTTAGAGATGTAGGAACTGTGATCAATGTCATGATCAACCATAATCCCAGAGGATTAATGATGAAACATGCCACCCACCTCTCAACAGAAAGTTGAAGGACTCAAAATGCAGAAATATTTTTTTGGGCACAGTCAAAGCAGAAATATGCTTTGCTTGACTATACACATTTGTAACATGGGTTTTGGTTTTCTTTTATTGTTGTATCTTTCATAGGTAGGTGGGAGTTGGGATGGGAGAGAAGAGAAAGAAAGTACATTTTTTTCTAAATGAAAAAAATTAAATACAATTAAAAAAAAAAAGTAGGGAAAATGGTCCACTATCAGACATCAAGATCATCTGCCAACAATACTATGGAACAGCAGTAGAAAATATTTTCACTTCAATGAATAAAAACACAAATCAAAATCTAACCTTACCATAAGATGTTTAAAATTTTTTTAGAATCACTTTTATCTCAGAAAAGAATATTTCTAAATAGGTATAAACTTCCACTTAATTTGTTCCAATTAATTTGTTTTCCTAGTAAGGAAAATACCATACAGTTAGTCAGCAAGAATAAATAAGATATTCCTTGGAAGTCTGTCATCTCAATCTTATGACAGTGTTGTAGATTAGCTTATTCAAAACTAAACTAAGCAGCTAGGTGGCCACACTGGATAGTGTTAGATCTGGAGTCAGGAAGACCTGATTAAATTTAGCCTCAAACACTTACTAGAAGTAGATGACCCTTAGGCAAGTCACTTAACCTCTGAGTTTCCTCATCTGTAAAATGTGATTAATAATAGTACCTACCTCCCAGGATTATTATAAGGATAAAATGAGATAGTATTTGTAAAGTGATTTGCAAACTTTAAAGTGCTATATAAAGGATAGCTATTATTATCATTCTTATCATAATATTATTAGCCATGTAAAATCATATTGGTTTACTAGCATCTAGCTTGAAATAAATTACTTAAACTGTAAACAATCAGAATTGGTAAAGTTATTATAACTTTTAGCATAATTAGTGATCTTTAAGGACATTCATAATTGATAACAGATAAATCATCTCAAACATCATTAAGTGTATAAAATACAAATGAATACAATTGTTAACAGAGAAAATTCCTGAAATTTTTTTCAAGAACTCAATTCAACAAAATGTAAATACATATGTAGAGAACACTATGCTAGACCCTAAGGAGGATACAAAACCAAGATAAACAAATACAGTCTCTGCTTTCATGGAACATAGACAAAGGAGGCAGATATTACCTAACATAGCCATTATGTAGCTACTGAAGCAAAAAATGCTAAAGAGGATTCTCTTGGTTGATCTTTGTCAAGGATCCATATTATATGAAACTACTACTTTTTCAAGATAGGGCATGTTAATAAAAACTTACAACAAAATAAATCACAACTATACCTCATTCTGAAGCTCATCACCACTTTTAACAGAGGCAAGCATATCATACAAAGTACAGCAAAGATCTTCTATTCTTGGTGCTTCAGCAGTTCCCTTCAAAGTTTCATTGAAATACTTTTCAACTTCACACCATAAAAAAGAACCATTGTTTTTTTCCACAGGCTTGAAATCTGAGGTATAACTCTCCTGGAAATGTTCTAAATGATTATTTAGAAATTTCTTATAATCAAGGCTTATAACTTTCTGGGCATCAGCTTCACCATTTATTGGCAATTCTTCAAAGTGATCTAAATCATGCATGTCAAAAGAAAACACTATATTTTTTCCAAATAATACTCTGTCACCATTTTGTTCTTCTGTCATTTGTACAAGTGCTGTGAGACGGTCTTCACTAAAGTGGGATGCAATCCGACAAGTGGCATTACAAGCTGCAGTAGCAGATGATGATGGAAAGGGACCAAACATCTGGTTAAGAGCCTTTGTTTCATTATGACCAACACAATCCTTCAAGTGAAAAGTCTTGAAAAGAAATGCTGCTCCACTTTCAATTGCTTCCTGTCCATTGTCTGTTCCAACTATTCAAATACAAAAGAAACAAGATTAGCTCATCTCAAACATACAATAGGATAACATTTTTTACAAATATCTCACAAAGTAAAACCACATCAGTAATTAACAGATTAATGTATAAGAAAGATAAATTTATTCCAAGCAAATACCATTATCCAAATATTAGAGAAACAAGATACACTGTTATTTTCAATAGTTAATCTATATTTAATATAAAAACTACCTGAGAACAGTCCTATTTTCTTCTATAAGGCAATTCTGGAATAATCAAAATAAAGAACTATAGTTAAAATATAATTAATAGGTGCAACACACTGACTTAAGTTATAAAATTAATAGTTAACTATATAAATGGTCACAGAATCATATAATCTTAGAATCTGAGACCTTTGGCAAATTCTGATTTAGACTGTCAACTTCTTGAAAAGATGAACTGACTTTGGGTATGTATGTTTGGGTATGGGCAGGTAAGGGATTGAGAGTCTCTAATACAAGGGCAAATCAACACAAGGCTGAAACACTGTAATTCATGTTTTATGATCATGAAAACTTTAAATTCCTAATCATTTTATGTGAAGCTGGCTGCTTAAACTAAGATCTTTTCCTCACAAGGTAGAGGGAGAATACATACACACACACACATATACACACATTTATATACTCACACACACATATATACATCCATATGTATATTTTATACACATAAAAATATATATGCATTTGTATAAATAGCTGTAAAGACCTGATGGCTTCATAAGTATTCTATCATTTCCTACGTACATATTTATCTGGCTTATTCATCATTCGTCTATTTAAAAGAAGTGAAGTGTTTTACTCTAGATTAGTACATCTGCAAACAGTTCTACCTCCTTTTATCCTCTTGAGAATAAAATAGTGCTAAATCTTAACCATTCAGGACATTCACAGGCTATAGTTGTAGGCAAGATGGGCTTCTTAGGATTATCACACACTGTATCATCTCGGGAATAGTAACTAACACTGAGACATAGGTAGCCATGAGGCAGAGAGAATACATCTACCTTTCTCTTTTCTTGTGTGCTTAACACAAACTGGCTGAAAGCCATTAATAAACTGTATTTAGCTCAATTAAATATGGAATTCCTCTGTTCCTTGAAATCTCAGAATGGAGTGGCAAACCACTCAATTTTTAAGAGATAAAGAAATTATACCCTTACTCAAATACATAAAAAAAAGTAGGAATAAGTGCTTTGGTACATGTCCGTATTCTAATGACTGTGAAAGATAGAAAAAATCCATCTGTATAATATTTAACAGTCAATGGAAGAAAAAACCTTTTCATTTTAAACTCTTTCTGACTATTTCATATTTTTAAAAAATAATTGTTTTGTTCTTGACCAATAGTCATTTTTCCAGATTCAAAAGAAAGTTATGTGTAATAAAAATAATTCAAATAATCCTCCAAATAACTTCATATTGTAACTATCCATATTATCACATACACACAAAACACACATGCATAAGCACTTTTACATACATATATGCACTTAACATCCATAAAAGTTAAATTTAACTATTGCGCTGTTTTAACTTTAATGTTAGTATCAAATAGGCCACAGGACAATGAAAAAATAAGATGATTCAATAATTACATTACATACAGAATTCAATTCAATTTTAAAAATCTTTGTACATATGCATATACACATATGCATAAGCACAACTAAAAAGCACACACTAAAGAAATGGCTCAAAGAATGAGAGGAAAGCATCTTTAAGGAGCAAAGAATTATCTCAGATCTAAACTATAAAAATTGCAGAATTTCAAAATCAACTCAACCAAACTTCCTCATGTAACAGATGAATAAACTAAGGCACTAAGAAGGTAAGTAAGTTGCCCAACAACATGCAGATTGCCAGTGGCAAGTCTGTTGACAATGACAGCACATATGCCATTTCAACTGTACAATAGTGCCTGTAAAATCACAAGTTCCTAACTGAGATGATTATTAAAAATTACACACAAACGTTTTCTTTCATTTATTGCTAGAGACACTGGTGAGTGACTGGAGAAAGAAATAACTCATTTGCTTCGACTCTGTAGAGATCAGTTTGTCTTCTCCACCCTGCCAAGATCCTCAAGTAGAGAAAATAAGAGCAAGAGGGCCTCCCTACCCTCACTACTGCTCAACTTTGCTCCTAGCCTATTTACTCCTTACCTCAATCCTACTGCGCCCAGTTAATTTCAGTTCTGACTTACCCATACCATTTCCCACTTAATCTTCACTTCACAGAATACTCAATTTCTATTCAAAATGCTTCTTATCGGGGGCAGCTAGGTGGTGCAGTGGATAGAGCACAGGCCCTGGAGTCAGGAGGACCTGAGTTCAAATCCAGACTAAGACACATAACACTTACCAGCTGTGTGATTCTGGGCAAGTCACTTAACCCCAATTGCCTCACCAAAAAAAGAACAAAAACAAAACAAAATGCTTCTTATCTTCAAATCTTCCTAGAATTACCTTGTACCATCTTACCTTCCTCTATTCACCGTTTATCCCCAATTGCTCTTTAATCAACTCTGCCTTTTATCCCAATTATGAAGACAAAAATCAAAAATTTAATTCCAGTCCTTGAGGTTAAAAGACTAGCCATTTACACAACATTCACTGTGCTCTTTGATATTTACTGATTTTCTACTAATTAAAGCTTATTATGAAAACTGATAAATTTTTACTCAATTCAAAAGTCAAACACAAATATAAAGTTATAGATAACTTTCTGTTTTGCACCTAACGATATTTCCTTTCCACTCACAATACAGAGAAGAACAAATATGAACATTCAAACAAAATTTTAATGAGAATTTTTTTTCAACAAATAAGTTCTACTTCAAGGAAGGAGAAAGGGAATAAGCATTTATATAGCACCTACTATGTTCCAGGCACTGTACTAAGCACTTTTCCAAATATCATCCTATTTGATCCTCTTAACATCTCTATGAGTTAGGTACTATTACTATCCCCATTTTACAATTGAGGAAACTCTAAGTGACTTGACCAGGGTCACACAGCCATAAAGTGTCTGAGGCTAGATATGAACTCAAAACAGAAGAAACTGGCATGTAGTTCAACTATATAGTTTTAAAATATCCAAAAATAGCAAACTTCTTTTGATTCAGAATTCTAAGAGCAAAGTTAGTTACTGAAAATCACAAGTGCTCATGTAAGCCTGTTATACTCCTCCCTCTTTTTACTTCCTCTAATACAAGGGTATTCTAAGTACAGAGAATATAACAAAGGTTTACTTTATTATTATATAAAAATATAATGAATAAAGAGGCAGAAAAAAAATGAGACAATTCTGGAAACAGCAAAGAACAGGCATAATGCCACATAACATTGCACTGACCAATAAAGCAACAATCACAACCACCAATTTACAGTGTATAAAGCCCTAAGGTTTACAAAAATTTTTCCTCACAACAACCCAGTGATGCTGGTATGGTATTTTTATCCTCATCTTACAGATAAGAGAGCCAAGGTTCAGAAAAGGGAGTATGTTCTTTTATCTAAGTGTATTCTAAGGTTTCATGGCCTACACATAGTAGCTACTTAATAAATGATTGCTGAATTGCTGAAGTTGCCCAAGATCCCAGTTAGTGAAAAGCAGAACTGGGAATAGAACTCAGGCCCTTTGTTCCAAATCCAGTATTCTTAAAGTACTCTTACCTAGTGCGCTCAGCAGCAGCTGCCTCAGAACAATGGCATCATTAACACATTATAAACTGCCCCCCACACACATAATATCAAAAACCCCACAGTAATGGCATTTAGCTAATCAACTGGTGATAATCCAAATAGTTACTTACTTTAGCTCTAAAAGTATTAATTTCCTTGAATATCAGTCTATTTACTGTCATTATATTGCTCGATACATAAATATAATCAGTAATCCTATAGAACTAACTACTCCTTCTCCCTGAAACTTTTCTTTTTGCTTAATATTGTCTTTATAGACCCAATTAATGATGTTGGGAGGGGGAGGGAAGAATCTCTATGCCGATAAGAGAATATGAGAGTGATCAATGTGTGATAAAGCTAGAAGGGCAAATTAAAAAGAAGTTGTAAAGGGTCTTCTTGAATGACAACAAAGTTTCAGCACCTCATAAACTATAAATTGTGAATGGTGGTTGTTACTGTGTTGGTCAGAGCAATGTTATATGGCATTATGGCTCTCCTTTACTGTTTCCAGAAAAGAGAATTATAATCAAAATGGACAGTGAGGAAGATCAATGTGGTAGCAATCTATAAGAAGTATCAGAGTAAAGAAAAATCTCAAAGAAGCAGATAGGAGGCTACTGAAAAAGACAAAGCATGAGATAACAAGGGCGTTTTTAAGCATTTCAAAGATATTGTAGCTATATCCAACTATCTTCTAATCTACAAAGCTTAAACTTTAACATACTGTAACTTCAGTGTGCAAAAAGGAATAAAAATTTTTAAAATATTCCAGAAAATACGGTCCAGATTTCTTAATTCCTAAATACAATGACTTTTTCTCAATCTTCATCTTTCTTGACTTCTCTTCAGGATTTTATGCTATTGGCCACCCTTCTTCCTTAATAATACTCTCCCCACTCTGGTTTTTTGTGATACTACTTACTCTCATGCTTCTCCTGTCTGATCTCTCTTCTCATTCTCCTATACTGGATCAACCATATCCCACCTCCAAATGTAGATGTATTCCAAAATTCTGTCCTGGATTCTGTGCTTTCTCTCTATATACTCTCAGTGACTTCATCTGCTCCCAATAATTACATTATGATCTCTATACAGAAAATTCCTAGATGTCAATACCAACCCCGATCTCTCTCCTGAGCTCCATTCGTGAACTACTAACTGCCTACTTTGTCTTTCCACCTGGATATTTGATAAGAATCTCAAACTGAACATTTACAAAATAGAACTCATTAACTTTCTCACAAACTCTCCTTCTTCTAACCTTCTCCATTTCTGTTGAAAAGTATCACCATCTTTCCAGTCATCCAGATTTACAACTTCAACATCATCTCCAACACTTTGGTCTCCCTCACCTCACATATCCAATCAGTTGCTTAATCTTGTTTTTCTCTTCACAACATCTTTCACATTTTTTACCTTTTTCTCCACTCACACTGCTACCATCCTAGCGGCTCAGGTCCTCATCACCTTTGCCCTGACTATTTTAAATGGTTTTCCAGGTCTCTCCCCACTCTAATCCATCCTCCATTCAGCTGCCAAAGGGATTTTCCTAAACTGGAAGTCTATCCATGTAATTCCTCTAATCAGTAAAAATATAGTAGCTCTGGATTACCTATAGGATCAAATGTGAAATCCTCAGTTCAGCATTTAAAGCTCTTCATAACCTGATTTCTTCCTACCTTTCCACTCTCGGCTTATTTAATGTTCCTAGGGCAAGCCACCCCATCTCCCATCACCTTCACCTCTTATTTTCCCTGAATACCTTCAAATCTCACCTTCTACAAAAAGACTTTTCTGGTCCCCATAGCTGCTACTACTTTCTTTTCTGCTACTGCTTTCCTCCTTCTCTGTATATACCCTGCACATACCAATTATTTACATGTGTCCTCCTCCATGAGAATATAAGCCACCTGAGGACAGAAACTGTTTTTGTTTTACTTTATATGCTCATCCTTTAATAATGTGCCCAGTAGATTCTACCTCATAAATTCTTTTTGCCTGATTGACCTCTAGGGCTAAGCAATTCTCATTATGGGTGGAGTGGATGCTTCTTGAGAAAAAAAAAGCTCAAAGATAGATAAGAGAAGTAATATCAGAAGCAGAGAAGGAAGGTCCTACTATCATTATATTTGTGGGAAGGGATCATTTTTCCAGGAATTCATATTCAACCTTTTGAAAAAAAGGATGACTTCAGGAAATCAAACTGGAAAACGTGACCAATTTTATTTTCCACAACTTATGGACTAAAAAAATACAAATGGAATGTGGTAGACAAGAAAACTTCTCATTCATAAAGAAAAATCAAATATAATTCAGACATAAATGCACTCATGCTAAATTTTAAGTTTTAAAATCTAAAACTTTTAATTTAAAGAACATTTATGGGTTTAAATCTAAAATTGTAAATGAGAATTAAGTTGACTGCTTGAAGGATGCCTTTCATAGCACACATGACTTATCTTTCCTGCACAATGCAAATATACAGAGTGAATATAAGCTGAAGTTGGCATAACGAAGTTCTAAGAACTTCCACAGCAACTTCTCAAATTCATTAAGTATTACAGCTGACATCCAAATTATAAGGAGAGCTTCTTCTGTTGGAGACTCCTCTTCCAGGATATCATGACACAGCTTGCCAACATTGTTCCTTCTCAGGTTCCTTTGTTGGCTCTTCCTCCAGAGGTCACACCCACTAACCATGGGTGGCTCCCTCAAAGCTTGGTCGTGGACCCTCTTTTTTTCTCCTTCTATACCTCAAGGGGATTTCATCAGTTCCCATGGGATCAATCATATCTATGCAGATAATTCTAACAGATCTAATTATTCAGCCCCCTCTATGTTCCAATTCTAATCACCAACTGTCTTTAGGAAAATTTTTTAAACAAAAACATGCTCAAAAAAGAACTCGTAATCTCTTCCAATTCTTCCCCTCTTGCCAACACACCAACTATTACTTTCAATTACTATCCCCTAGTTACACAGGCTCTCAACTTTGTGTTGTCTTCAACTCTCCTTCAAATTCACCCTACATATCCAATCTACTGTCAAAGTCTGGTCATTTCTACCTTCACACCATTTCTTATTTACATTCTTTCTTTCCATTCAAACATCCAGTATTCTCATCCAGGCCCTCATCCCTTCTGGTCTACTGCAATAGTTTTTTTTTTACTTGTTCTCCCAGTTGCAAGTCTCTCTCTACACCAATCTATCATTTACTCAGCTACCAATTTTCATAAAGCATGAAGTGACTATGTCACTTCCCTAATTCAATAAATTATGGTGGCTCCTTATTACCTCCTGAACCAAATATAATGATTGGCTTTTAAAGCCCTTTACAACCTGGCCCTTTCCCACCTTTCCAGTCTTCTCACACTTCAATTCTCTCTAAATACTCTACAATCCAGCAACAAGCCAATGCCTGGTTGTTGTTTTGTACATATAACACTCCATCCCCATCTACTGACTAACCAGCATTGCTGGATTGCTCTCCTTCCTCATCCTCACCTCTATCTCCTGGCTTCCTTCATATTAACTCAAATCCCACCTTCTGCAGGATGCCATTCCCAGTCCCCTCTCTGCTGAGTGCTTTCCTCTGAGACTACCTTCTTTTTACACAGTATGTATATTGTAAGTACATAGTAACTTGCACGTTCCCTCCATTACAATGGGAGCTTCTTAAGGGCAGGGACTGTTTTTGCCTTTCTTTGTATGCTCAGTGCTTAGCATGGTGACTACACATATTAAGCATTGAATTAATGCTTGTTGAGACAGCTAGGTAGAACAATGCACAGAATGCTGGAACTATCAGAAAGGTCTGAGTTCAAATTCTACCTCAGACATGGACTAGCTGTGTGATCTGATCAAATCACTTAACCTCTCTCAGCCTAAGTCAAATCTGTCAAATGGGAATAACAATAGCATCCACACTTCATAGAGTTTTTGGGAAAATCAAACGAGATACTAAATGTAAACTAGCTTGAAGACCTTAAAGGATTATGTAAAAGCTATCATTGTGGGTATATTGCTTGTTGTTGTTACCTGACTAGCTGAAACAAGAACTTTTATTGTTTATTTATTTAAGTGAAGCCCAGAAATAAAGCTTTAAAAAAAAAATTGTCTTATCCACATTCTACAAGTAATAGTACTTTTAAAATATTTTAAGTCCTTTAAACATTTAACTTTACCTATCTGCTTTGCTGCTCGCAATATATCTTTTAAGTCTTCATTTACAATTTGTACTTCCTTCTTCTCCAGATTATCATCCACAAATTTTACAATCTTATTCCATGTGAGTCCTAAATCTGAAATTTGCTTCTGAAGTTTGGATCGTTTCAGCTGGGGGAGAAAAAAAACATAACTTAGACAAGTGTTTTCTGAAATCCGTTACAAATTCTGCAAAATATATCAAGTCCACCCACCAAGCAATAAATAAAATCACATAGAGGATCACAGATCTAGTATTTGAAGAGACATCAGAAGTTATCTAGCCTAACCTAATCATTTTACAGATGATGAAACTGAGGCCCAGAGATATTAAATGATTTATCTAAGATCATACAGGTAGTAATTCTCAGAGGTGGGATTTGAACCCAAGCCCTCTCTATTCATCATATTACAATTTACAGGTCTCAAAACTAGCTTTATTTAAAGCTGACATTTTGTCGGCTTCCATGGTTTGTTCTATAACATAAACTAACACAAACTTTATTATGTTTTATTGCTTTTCATGTACCTAACAGTCCAAACAAACTGGCCTTATTGCAGTTCTTCATCTATGACATTCCATCTCCCAATCCCTGAAGCTTTTGTAACAGCTATCCCAAATTCCAAGAACCTACACCCTCCTCACCTCTGCCTCTTAGAATCCCTTTGTTATTGTTGTATAGTCACTTAAATCATGCCCAATTCTTCATGACCTCATTTAGGGTTTTCTTGCAAAGATACTGCAGTGTTTGCCATTTCCTTCTCGAGCTCATTTTACAGATTAGGATACTAAGGCAAACAGGGCTAAGTGACTTGCCTGGGGTCACATAGCTAGTAAGTATCTGAGGTCAGATTTGAACTCAGGAAGATGAGTCTTCCTGACTTCACGTCCAGCACTCTATCCACTGTGCCGCCTCGCTGCTCCTTAGAATCCCTAATTTCCTTCAAAGTTTGGCTCTAGTGATTCTCTCTAAAAATTAATTTGTATTTCTATTGAATATATTTTGTATATATTTGTGTGCATGTATGTCTGCCCTTATAAAATATAAACCATTTGAGGCTAGAGATTTTCATTTTCATCTTTGTTATCTTACAGTGACTGGAACATAGCAGGAGCTTAATAAAAAATGTCTGGTGATTAAATGAATAAGTTGACTTTTTATTTTTCAAAGACATATCCTATTACTAATAAAGTTGGCCTCACAGTTTTTAAACATCTTGCTTTGATTACATTGCTCAACAGTTTAGCATCATTAGACCTTTACTGCAAGAAATGAGGCCAAAGAGAATTTTACCATAAATAATGACAATAGTTAACATTTCTATAGTATTTTAAAGTACATGAGGCACTTTACAAGCAGGATCTCATTTGATCCCAGCAACAGCCCTGTGTAGGAGGTTCCATTATCAATCCTCACTTTATAGATGAATGAGAACGAGAGAGCTTAAGTAACTTGCAGAGTCACATTGCTAGGAAGCTCCAAGTCCAGAGCTCTATATAATTCATCAAGCTGCTTTATAATACTATCAAGTGTATGTTCACTACAAGAATGAGTATTATTATTGTGTCTTTTTTATGTTTGAGTCAAAGGCACACAGATATGGTGCCTACAAACACACAATTTCAAAGATAATATAATGCAATAAACCTTTATTAAGCACCTACACCCTGCAAGACCCTATGCCAGGTGTTAGGGATACAAAAACAAAAGTGGAAAACATTTACTCTCCTCATTGAGAAATAAACATGTACAAAAATAAGTGGATACAAGTACCACTGAAGGAATGACAGCATTAACAACAAAGGAGATCAGCAAGGCTTTCTCTGGGAGGTAGTACCTCAAATGAGCCACAAAGGTAACTTGGCATTCTGAAATGCTAAAATGAACAGGATACAGATTTCCAAAATTTGGAACATAATTAGTTATATTCATTACAAAAAAGCCTTTGATGTCTGATAGAATTAAAAAAGCTTGTATTATTAAGATACAAGAGTTAAATAAAGAAATGCCTAATGTAACAGTATATTCATATTTCTAGAGTAAAAGATATTATTTGAAGACATAAACTTTACCTTAGATACAGACAAATGTTCATATATCCTGAAACTCAGTCAATAAGCATTTACTAAGCACCTACTATGGTGCCAGGCACCATATTAATTTCTGAGAATACAAAGAAAAGCAAAAAACAGTCCTGGTTCTCAAGGGGTTCACAGTATTATGGAGAAGACAATATACTAACAACGTACACACAGGAAAAATTTGGGATAGTCAAAGGGGAAAGGCAGTAAGATTAAGGAAGAATGGGAAAAGCTTCTTGCAGAAGGTGGCACTTTGGCTGAGACTTGAAGGAAGCCAAGGAAGCCAGGAGACAGAGATGAGAAGGGAGAGAATTCAGAGCATGGGGGACAACAGCCAGTGAAAATGCACAGTAAGGAGATGGAATGTTTTGTTTCAGAACCAATAAGGAGGCCACTGGATCAAAGAGTACACAATGAGAAATATATCTCAAGAGTCACCTTCAGTGGAAAAGGGACTGGAGAAGTCTAATAGAAAGGAATTTATATAATTCTACATGAATTTTACCCTAGTGGAATCCCCTCTGCACACTAGCTTATAGAGTAAAATTGTCTAGATAAACTTGACACATAAACAGACCAAGGAAAATCATTTCACTAAGTTAGCAGATTATTACACTTACATAAGGAAGATTCTTCCACATTATAGTTTTTTTCCTGAAGTAGCCATAATACATACAGATGTCTCTGATACTGTTTTGTAAAAGAAAACTACAACTCAAAGCACCTATGAACTTCCTATGAAGTTCTGTTGTGGTATTTTTAATGTCTACCTTTAAAAATACAGGGAGAGTACCATACTAATCAAACTATCAAAGAATTGCTTTATAGAACTAGAAAAAATAATAATAAGCAAAAGGTCAAGAATATCAAGGGAATCAATGAAAAAAATATGTAAAGGAACGGATAAAGCAGTTCCAGACCTCAAACTATACTACAAAGTGGTAATTATCAAAACAATTTGGTACTAGGCTCCACTCAGCAAATTCACTATATACAAACTCAAGACAGCTAAGTGGCTCAGTGGACAGAGCATTAGTCTTGGAATTAGGGAGACTCATCTTCCTGAGTTCCAATCCAACTTCAGACACTTCCTAGTTATGCGACCCTGGGCAAGTCATTTAACCTTGTTTGCCTTAATTCTTCATCTGTAAAATGAGCTGGATAAGGACATGGCAAACCACTCCGGTATTTTTGCCAAGAAAATTCCAAAGGGGGCCACAAAGAGTCAGATGTGACTTAAAATGACTGAACAAGAACACAAACTCAAAAACGAAAAGATACCACCCTATTCTGTTTCCCGATGTTACTACTGTCTCTGCTTCAATCAGACAAGGTATAGTGATGATCTAAGCAGATTACCTTATAGATGTTACAGAATCTTTACATGAGTACTCACTGAAATCTAAGACAATTCAATCTTAAAGAAATGAGACTTAAGTGTATATTTGAGTCTATGTGGATATCTGAGTGTTTTATAATGCCTTTCATATATAAATTGTTACCATTAAGTCAGCTGATTCTTCATTATAATCATCCTGTTTGGTGACATTTGAAAAGGAGCGCAATGCTCCTGTAAGACGAGGTAAGTCCATATCATTCATTCAGTGATCCATATGAGAAGAAATGAAATCTTATTCCAATTCCTAAAACCTGAAACAGACAAAACAAAAAGATACTTCTTTGGTTGTTTCTTCTTTAGTTATTAAGTCACATAAATTCATCTCTACAGGAAAAACAATTGCTGAAATAGCAATTATCACAAATTCATAAAGAATCACCTTCCATCTTTTCAACACAAAGTTATTTAAATGTACCTGTTGTTAATATATTTTATTTGTTATGGGAAAATTATTACTAGTTAAAAATATACATTCTCAACACTCCTTAGAGATATGTGATAGAATTCCTTCAGAATAAGGAAATATTAAAACACTATAATGATAGTCAGAGGGAGAGGGGCTAAATTCACACCAATAGCCTTGCACTCAGGAAAGGCTAACTATCTTTCCTCCTCACCTTTACACATATACCCTTTTCAAGTGGCTCTACATCCTCACAGGGCTCAGTTAGTGAATGATGGAAACTGGATTCTGCATAAGGCAAAAAAGTAGATTCTTTTGTACTGACATCTTTCTCAATGATATATTATCTCTAAAGCTCCTAATGCCACATCCACAACAGTTCTTGTTAACATTGTAGTGATTTAAGAACATGCACATATTGATCATGCTTTCCCACCAGGAAAACTTTAGCATTTTATTTTTTCAAAAGCAATGTTTCTTGTCTTCTGAACAAAAGATTATTACTGTTTTATATACTAATAATAAAAATAAAGCATCCAAAATAGTTTCTGTCTTGAAACAGCTTCATTTTCCTGTGCTGTTAGTTTAAAATGTTCAGACTCATATATTGAGTTCACCTAGAAACATACTTATCTATATCACATTATAGTCTCCACCTTAACCTCCTTCATTGCTTATTTTTTTTAAAAAATCCACAGCCTACACTCACAAGGGCTCCTGACAATAAAAAAAAATGAACAATTTTTACCTTGTCTTTGAAGTCTTATCGATACAACTAGCCAATTTACATTACTCAATTATCTTAAACACATTCAAAGAGATAGTGCCACAATATATTTTGTATTATCTTGTCAAGAATTTAGAAGCAAAACAGAAAAGGAGATAAATGAAATTTCCATTATTTTTATTAAATACCCATATGTAATCTTCTAGAATTTATAGTCATGACATTTCAAGTATCAAAGCTTTTCTCAAGGATGTTTTGCATAAGGCATATTTTATTTTGGATTCACTTACTATTCAGCAAATAATTCCATTCATTTATACCTAAAGAAAAAGGCAAATAGTTTCTCAAGGATTTTTCCTTCTCTAGCAAATGTCTCAAAATGTTTAAAAAATATAAGTAATACCTCTTGGTTTTTACAACATATATACTCTTATCTTTCATCATATATTTAATCAATTATTAAACCAAAGCAACACTGGGACAGTATCATCTAATTTGTCTACCTCAAAGTTTAACACAGTACAGACATTTAATATGTTGACTGAATTATAGAATATTCAAATACTCTGATTTCAACAAAGTTTTTAAATAATCAAGATATTATTAATCATGTTTTCTATATTATAAAACTTCCAAGAACTACTCATTTTTTAACTAAAAAAAAAAATAGGAAAAGGAGAAGTATTTTCCATAGATCAGGGAATATGTGGGTCAAAGAATTTCCCTACTTGTAAAACTTAAATTCATTTAAATAACCTTAGAAAACAGTTTTTTTCCTTCAGAAAACCCTGCAAAGTAACCAAATAAAAAATGAACAAGGTAAAACCACAATAAAGAAATAAAAATAATAGTACCTATTATACAACATCAAAAGGGAAACATTGAAAGAAATGAAGATTAGCTACAAAAATATGATACCCAAATTAATAGACATGAAATAAAAATCTTAATTTCTAAGAGATCTAATTTTTTAAAAATGAAAGTGAATTAGCTGTAAAAGAACTATCTACCCTGGTTCAGATGAATTAATAAATGAATTGTATTAAAATTTTAAAGAATAGGTATATTACACATAAAAAAATATACTCTATCAAACTACTTTCATGAGACAAATACAACTGTAATGATTAAATCAAGGAAGGATAACTCAAAGAAAAATAACTACAGACCAATATTACTAATGAATACTACTAATTCAAAGCCTTGAAATATAAACCTGGCAACAAAAAAATATCAAAGCAAAATAATCCAAAAAATTATTCACCATGACTAAATTAGATTTATACAAAATATACAAGATAACTAATCACATTAAAAAAAGTCAAACTGCATAATTATATCATGAGTAGCAAAAGCCTCTAAACAAAACATAAACTATGAAAAAAAATTCTACAAAGCACAAGCAAAGAAAAGCCATTTAGAATGATAAAAAATTATCTCTATAAACCAAAGGCTAACATTATATGTAATGTGGAAATGTTAGAAACTTTCTGAATAAATACAGGAGTACAGCAAGAATTTCCTTTCTCCAACGTGACATAGTCTTAAAATTTGAGAAGTAACAATCAGGAAAAGAGTAGAGAACTATTCCCATTTGAGTACAACACATATAATAGTTACTTTCAAAATCCCAGAAACTCAAGTAAGAAACTAATTGAGACAAAATAGCTTCTGTAAAGTAGCTGGATGTAAAGGTGAAACTACAAATATTCACAATATATCTATACTAAGTTCTTAATAAATCCTTCCTTTCTTCATTACATAGCAATAAAATTCAAGAAGAAATAATAAAAAGAGAACTATAAACCACAAAAAATATCTCAAAGTCAATATACCAACCAAGCTACACCCAAGATTTACATAGTTAAAACTACAAAACATTTCCAAGCAACAAAGAGTCACTTTTAAAAAAAATACAATAAAAATATCAAACCTATCTAAATTAATTGCAAATTTATTATCAAACTACCAAGTGGCTAGTGAGAGTCAGCCACAAAGCAAAAGTGATGAAAAGACAAAGCGGTAAGGCAACCTATGTGAAATTAATAGCATGCCCAGGCAAGTTCATAGAGGAAAGGTATACTCAGCAAAAATAATCACCAACATTGTTATAGAGTCTTTGCAGAAAAGACGAGAAACAAACAGTGAAAGGATGAAATCTGTCAGGTCAGTCACTTCAGAATCAAGTCAAATTAGAAAAATGGTATATGGAATTCTGCCCCAGATTGGCCTATGGATAAAGAGGAAACTTCAGTTTTTACTTCTATCAATTTGACACATTTCACAAATGACAATATCCTAATTCCCTTACTCACCTCAAAAAAAAAAGGCCAGTTAGAACTCCTTAAATTTCATTTTGCTAATTCACAACTGTGATAAACCCTAAAATAAACCTGACAGTCTCACCTGCTTTCTGAAAGAAATTTAACAGCAGGGGTTAGTAATGAGGTCACATATTAGTGAGATAACATTACTTTTACACAATATGACACAGAACATTTAAAAAGGCTCCAAGTATCTCATCAAAATAATTAAAAATAAATTATACTTGTCAAGATAATGGAGTGAAGTACATTTTTTGATACATAAATTTTGATTGTATCTTCTTCCTCAAGTTAACTTTTCCTACAACATTATCGTGCTCATTACAACAAAATCAGTGTCCTCATTTGAAAGAATTTTTACTAAATTCTGTGGGCCAACAAAAGATAACACTAATGCTGAAGTGAATGTTCAAAGTTGTACTTGTGTACACTTCTGCAAAGACTAGTACAGAAGACCCTTAAAAGCTTAGCCATAGCTTTTAAATAACTAACAAAAGGGTGGGAAAATGCTTACACATTAGGACCTAAAGAGACTAAGTCCCTTACAAACACCCCAGTAAAGCTCTAAAAATGAGATAAAAAGAACAGTGATAAAGAAAGTCAAAAAGAATCACCTATAAACTACTCAATCTAGACAAGGAATATGCAAAATGACTGTCAGAATCCTGTAGAAGTCCTCAACAAAGATAAGCCAATGCAGAAGGAAGACAAGTCCACAGCAGCCCAATCCCACAGAAGGAAACAGGCCCAGACAGGCACCGAGCATACTAGAAGTTAGGCCTTGAGAAGCATCCTGCACAGGGAAGCCATGGAACCCTGGCCATGTGCATTTAGGGTTAATATATTTGCAAAATTTTATGCAAACTTCATGTGAGGATGGATCCTAACAGATGATTATAATTAGAACAGTAACAATGAGTGGCATTCTATAAACATAGATCATTTTTCATTTCTCTTCTTTCAAATTATCAATACTGCTTAGAACCATTAAGTGATCAATTATATTTCAACTAGCTTTTCCTACCTTATTGTCAGTTTCAATCAAATACCTACTAACCCAGAGCAATACATGAAATACTCATTTTCAGAAAACATGAGGTTATGCAATTATTATAATGAATAAAGCAAAGTTCTTCATTTTTTTTCCACATCTGGGTGGAAGTGATGATAATCCATAGACTAGGTCCTAAAGAGGGTGGAGATGGGGAGACATGATTTAGAGTACAGTGAAAGGGTTAGCTATGCAAAGAGGATGATCTCATTCTGGATACTTTTTCCTCTGTGGTTTTTCATAACCCTCCTCTATCCCGTTTCTTCTCTTACTTATCGGATCATTCTTTTTCATCATTTCATTATTTTTGCTGGATCTTCATCTGTATCTCATTCTGTAATTGTGTCTTGGAAATTTCTCTCTATACTTTCATTTTTGGTGACCTCATCAGCTTCCATGGATTCAGTTATAAAGCAGATGACTCCTCGATTTTATATCCAGCAAGTCTCTGTTTTGAGCTCAAGTTCCATGTAACCAATTACCTGCTTAACATTATGAATGGGAGTTTCCCTTAGGAATCTCAAAACTCAGCATGTTCAAAATGGAGAACTCATTATCTTTCTGTCTAAATCTGCTCTTCTTCCTAACTTTTCTGTTTCAATTGAGAGTACTGTCATACTACCAGTCACCCAGATTTGCAGAGAGTCATCCTGGACTCCATCTTAACCTTCACCCCACATATTCATTCAGTTGCCAGATTTTACATTTCGGCCTTCACAGTATCTCTTCAGTCTGTTCTTTTTCTCCACTCAGGCTCAGCATTCGAATTCATTAGCTCTTGCCTTGACTATTTCAAGAACCTACTAATTGGGCTCTTTACATAAAGTCACTTTATTTCTCTAAACTGTCCTCCATTTAGCTGCCCAGTGACAATGCCTTCCCTTCTGAATATGACCTCCTTAAGAGCTGGAACTTAAGTCCCAGGACTGTGTTTTTTGCCTATCTTGGTATCAACAGCACTTAGCACAATAAAGGCTTGTTGAATGACATCCTCCACTGCTTTTAAATAGTGTAGGGTGCCTCCTAAGAGCCTTCTCTATAAAAGTAGATATGTAATTGTCAAGTTCAGTATGTGTCAGAGATGGAGACTTAAACCCAAATAGCCCTGACTCAGATGTCCATGATGCCAAGTTGCCTTTCATCACATCACAATACTATGTAAAGCATTGACAACCAAAAAAAAAAAAATCCACAATCACACTAACAATCTAAATGACACTAAACCAGTGCTGAAGGCCTGCTAATGTATTTATGTTGCACTGACCCAAACTTGAAGTGAAAATTTTTTCCATAATCTAATACTTGAAAAGACTTATCTTGAGTCTACATAAAGTGTGATAAAGAGATGTGGCTGAGAAATGAATGTATTGTCAATATTTATATTTAGCCAGACTTTAATATTAAAAGAACTCACTCATCTAGCTGGTTATCCACTGACATATTTACTACTTCCTGACAGAAGTAGGTCAAGTCTAGCACTAATTTCAGGATCATACGCAGGTGGAGCATTTTTGTGTTTTCTTCATCTAACACTAGTTAAGAATACATACTGACAATTTAATATCACAAAAAGAACCTTATTTTGGCCAACTATAGGTCAATGAGTTTAGGTCAAGTTTCCTACCTCAAAAAACAGCCTAAGTTAAAATTAAGGCTCCAGGAAGAAGAGTAAGTGCTCCAACAAATGGGAGCAAAAAAGGAGATAAAAAGGTATCTGTAAGTTCAGATTATGTCTAGGAGTCTTTAACCTGGGGTCCATGAACTAGATTTAGGGATCAATGAACTTGGATGGAAAAAACAAAATTATTTTCACTAATCTCTACCTAATATTTGGCATTTCTTCAATTATTTCAAAGCATTATTGTGAGGAGGCCATAGGCTTAACCAAACTGACAACGGAGTCCATAACATGGAAAGAGGTTAAGAACTCTGGTCTAAATAATAACTAACAATTACATGGTTTTGTAAGGCTTTCTTTACATACAGAATCCCAATGGAGCCCTACAATGTCCAAGTGAAGTATTACAGGCCTTACCATCATTCTTGGCTTACAGAGGAGGAAACAAAGGATCAGAGGAAGTGACTTGTTAGTGGTCACAGATCTACTAAGAGTTAGGGATAGGCTGTGAATCTAGGTCCAATTACAAGTCCAGTCCTTTATCATACTGTTAATCTAAAAAAGAATTGTTCTGGTGTAGTATCACGAATATTTGTCCCAATCACTGAGCATAACAGGAACAATATAGTAGTGCAGAGCAGGGAGAAAAAAGATATTATCAGTACAGAAGTAATTTCTGAGTACCTTTAAAATCAGAAATGTGCTTTTCATTTTCATGAAATCTGGTGGTAGTATCTTCAACGCAACATAATCTTAGAGTAAAATAGGTCAGTCTTCTTTCAAGTGAAACTACGATGTCTACTGTGAAATGAACATGTGAGCGCATATATATACCACACATAGCATCAGAAGCTCAGCACTGTGCCCAACAAATAGGCGCTTAATTAATACTTATTATTATTGCTGTTTAGCTCTTATTGGAAATAAATCAATAGATGGCTCGTTAGTTTCATTTCAAGAGGGTGCCAAGAAAGAGGAAAACCTGGTTAAACGGGATGTCATTTAAAACGAAGTTCATTAGTTTCCCTCCTCACCAGTATAGAAACTCCACTGCGGCAGTATTCCGATTCCGTACTTAAAACAAACCTACTCATCTTTTTTTAACTTTTAAGTTCCCTAGAAAGCTGTTCTTAGGTCCTGTACTTTCTTCACTAATACCTACCCACGCATTCTTTACTTGACACCTATACCAGAAAACAGACCCTTCCGACCCAGGCGCAACGAACGTAAATAGGCAAACTGCAGGAAAGGAAAAAGTAACCAGTTTCTTTTTCGAACAGAAACGCCACTGAAAACCATCCAAACACACACTTGGAGTAAAAACTCCCCTAACTGCACAAGTCTGGGGCGGACACACCTTGGGTGCTGAGTGCCACCAGGCCCCACAGCGCCCCTCGCCCCTCCTCCCTGCCCGGCTCTCCTAACCTTCCAGAAGTTCGGGGAGAATGGTGGTGACCATTCTCTAGGGGAGCCCGGCGGGGGGCGGGAAGGCGGGGAAGGGTCGACTGACAGCTCAAGCTCCGGGCTGAGCTCTGAGGGCGAGCCTGGGCTCAGAAGTGAAGGCGACACACCGGCAAGGTTTGAGTCCGGCCTCTCTGGACCGCCGCCGAACCCAACTTCCTGGTTTCGCTGCCCTCCCTCCGCACCTCCCGGCCAGCCGAGGCTCCCACGTTTCCCTTAGCTCCGTCTCTTACCTTCCTCGCTTTCGTCTCTATACTTTGCCCGTCCAAGTCGATCTCCACGTCTGGCGGGGAGGACAAACGGCAGTCCGACTGCCTAGATCGGGAGGAACCCCGGGACTCGGCCTCTCCTTAGTCACTCAGCCAGACGGCCGGCGGAGGTACTACCGACGCCCGCGCAGACGTACAAACTAACTGACTGACCGACCCACACTAAGAAGGGTAGAGGAAGGGTAGGAGGGCGCCGGGGCCCAGGAGAAATACTCCAAAGCCGGCACGGCGTACGCATCGACGTGTCAGCGTCGGCACGTCGACTCGCACGTTCGGTCCGAGTCGGGCTTGCGGCCTCCGAACCCGGGTTCGTGTGCGGAGGAAGTGGGAGGAGGGAAGAATAGAGGAGGAGGAAAAGTTGTCCGGAGGGTGGGGGTGGGGTGGAGTGAGGTGTTTCGTGGGAGGAAGAACGCGCGCGTCTCCCGGGGGCCGCGTATGTACGCGTGCGCGCACGCCTTTTGAGCGTCGGGAACGGCTGGGGAGGGTTTTGTGGCTTGTGCGCTTGCGTATATGTTTCTCTTCTGTTCTGCCCTGGCTCGCTCTCGCCTCCTTCTCTCACTTATTCCTCTTGCTCTGCAGGTCGATCCCCTGTGCGGGTGGAGCCAAGCGCCCGAGGGACTAACTCGCTGTCTGTGCCCTCAAGGAGCTTCCAGTCTCCTAACTTTTTCTCTCTGAACTTCCCCTGCCCCCTCCTTATAATTTTTAAACCTTAAAGCACTCGACATGAGTTATTCTTCTTAATCCTGAGGGATTCTTATACCAATAAGAGTTGCTTTAAATCTGTGGTCCTCTTTTCGGAATGTGGTCTCCAAGGATCCGCGAGGTCAAAACTTTTCGTAACAATACCTAGACTTTATTTGCATATTAAATCACTGCCATTTTCCAACTACTTGTGAAGCTGGATTTCCTTCATATATTTCAATCAAAATAAGCAGTAGATGGAATGCAGAAGCAAGTAAGAGAATCCAGTTTCTATTAAGGCCTGGCCCAAGGAGTTTTGTCCCTGGCTGACCCAAAGACTCCCTACCACCAGATATCCATTCCTCTGACAACTCCCTTACTGTCTGCTATACTCCCTACACTTTCCCATCCATAGCTCTCAAAGACACCTGGACCCCGATATTATCTAATTAGCATCCTGGGCATTCCTTTCCCATGCCCCTTTTCCATATAAACCCCAGCACTATCTTCAGTCTCTTGCAGGTTCCATAAGGACCCTTGCCCGCTTTTGCTAAAGGGTTACAATAAACCTTTAGCCACTTAACTAAGAGAAGGCTGGAGTGTGTGAATTCATTCCAGGCAACTCTGCCTTGGCATTCTTGGGGTCCCAGCACCCCCAGACCTCGTCATATAGTCACGTAGATAATAAACATTAAAGGTGAGATTTGAATCTACATCCTTCGACTCCAGAGCTGGTGGCTGTTCTAGGTTTACATAACTTAAAGTTATACAATTACTAAGTATCAGAGCTAGGAGTTGAAGTTAGGTCATAGATTAAAAGTTGTAAAGGACCTTAAAGGGTCTTCTGTTCTAAACCCCCCTCCGCCTGAGGAAACTCAAACCCAAAGACAAACATTTATAGCTGAAAGAGATCTCAGAAGTCATGTAGTCATCCCTTTATTTTATAGATGAGGAAACAAGCCAGTGTGGATAAACTACTTATTTAGGTTACACAGGTAGTAGGTGGCAGACCCAGGGCTTGGAGCCAAGTTCTCTGATACCAAGGTCAGCATTCTTTTCCCATCATAATACTCTATGACTTGTTTAACACAGAGATTTGCATTTGAACCCAGGTTCTCTGACTCCATATTTAGTGTGGTTTTGTTTTGTTTTTTTTGTCTCATCATCCCAGTCTGCCTGTCCCTTCTCAGACTCCTTCCCTCAGGCTTCAATTCATATAGTTTTTATGCAACACAAGGCTATGTTAAATGATCTGAATAAATTAAGCATCTTTACCCCAATATTTGTATGTGTGTGAGACCTGTTTGTTTTTTCAACATATAATTCCCAGGAGTTATCCTTTGTGGCCCTGTAGAGTATCTATTTAAAGGACCCTTTTAAAGCCTTTGTTCAAAATTGCCTAGGCAGCTTCACTATAATGGTGAGCGTCAGCATATGAGAGAAAATGGTACAGACAATGCCAATGAAGTTGGTTTGTCAGTTTTATTGCTTCTTAAAACCTGTCTGACCATGTCAATCCCCTGTTCAAAAAGCTTCAGTGAGATCCAGCCATTCTGGAGAGCAACTTGGAACTATGCCCAAAGAGCAACCAAACTGTGCATACCCTTTGCTCCACCAATATCACTAGTAGGCAGGCCATCACCAGTCGTCTTGATCTATATGTAGTCACTGGACCCAGATGGCTCTGGAGGAGAAAGTAAGGGTGACTTTGCACAGCCCTCCCTCACTCATCCAATTCACTTGCAAGTCATGGCATCATCTTCCTGATGTCATGGATTTCTTTTAGAACAAAGGACAAACCACAACCTGTGAGTGGTCTGACCTGCCCACTGGGGACCCAACTGGTCAATTCCAGTCGGGCAACAGAGTTCTCTCTCTCCCTTTCCCTCTATCTCTCTCTCCCTCTCCCTCTCCTCTCCTTTCTTCACATGGGGTATTATGCCCTTACCTGAGGATGCTCTGCCCAGAGGAAGGTAAATTTTGATGGCTGAAACTTGTCATGTTATACTGGGGTTTACTGGCTACATTCTTTCATAAAGACCATGCCTTTATGGATCTGATTGATTGGACAACAATGGGTCCCTGCCCAAGCACTACTTAATAGTTATTTTTTGAGTCCCAGAGGACTCAGAGTGAATGTAAATAGTCATTGTTTCTCTTTTGACCAGAAACCCCGAGGGTCTTCTCCTCCTAGTTTGTTTATATGTTTTTTAATTAAAGAGACCATCCCTTGGATCATTCTTAAAGAGCCCTAATCACTGAATGGGGGTTGCTTCACTTAAAGTGAGCACTCTGAAAAGATCTTACCTTAAAAAGGCCAAGATCTCCCAAAGGATCCTAGGCCGTCTCCAGTCATCTTGATCTATATCTGGCCACTGGACCCAGATGGCTCTGGAGGAGAAAGTGAGGCTGGTGACTTTGCACAGCCCTCCCTTACTAAAATCCAATTCACTCACAAGTCATGGTGTCATCTTCCTGATGTCATGGTCCTCTTCAAGAACTAAGGACAAACCACAAGCACTACTAGATCTGTATCCCAAAGAGATCATCAAAAAAGGGAAAAAGAGCCACATGTACAAAAATATTTATAGCGGTTCTTTTTGTGGTGGTCAAGAATTAGAAATTCAGGGGATGCCCATCAATTGGGGAATGGCTGAACAAGTTGTGTTATATGAATGTAATGGAATACTATTGTGCTATAAGAAATGACGAGCAGGATGATTTCAGAAAAACCTGGAAAGACTTATATGAACAAATGCTGAGTGAACCGAGCAGAACCAGGAGAACGTTATACACAGAAACAGCAACATTGTACGATGATTAACTATGATAGACTTAGCTCTTTTCAACAATACAATGATCCAAGACAATTCCAAAAGACAGTTTGATGGAAACCACATCTGATGAGGATGAGATCTAGACCCCAAAAAGGAAAAAGCCTGGACTTTCCTACATGGCCAAATTGGGGTTTGCCTGAGGCTATAATCACATCAACTAACCTTTCATTGTGGCTATACCCAATCTCCCAATTCTCTGTTACCCTTAACCTATTGTAGCCCTACCTCCCTATGGCCTAATGCCACTTCCCACACTTAATCCTATCTAGGGTCCATTCTCCCTTGGCCTCTTGGTCCAGGTCCCTGGAGTTCTCTTACTTCATAGACTACTTGGCCACTCCTAGATCCCTCTCATAGTCTTTCTGTATATAAGGTCCATCTTGTCTCCATTAAGATGCTCAGATTCTTAAAATCTACCTACTGCTCAGATTCTTAAAATCTAGCCAATAGCTCACTAATGTTCAGACTCCTTAAAAGTCCATCCAATAGGACAGATGTTCTAATAAACCTTGTCTTTGGCTGAAAGGCTTGGGTCAAATTCTTTTGGGCAGGACCCGTGTATTGTGATTTTGGGGTCCCAGCACCCTGAAACCCCTAAACCTCAACATATCCAGAGAAAGAACTGTGGAGCTATGGAGTTTGAATGCAGATTAAAACATACTATTTTCTTTTTAGTTTTTTTTTATTTCTTGTGGTTTTTCCATTTTGTTCTGATTCTTTCACAACATGACTAATGTGGAAATGTGTTTAACATGATTTCGCATGTATAACAAATCAAATTGCTTGCTATCTTGGGGAGTGGGGAGAGAAGGGAAAGAGGGAGAAAAAATTGGAACTCAAAATTTTACAAAAATGAATGATGAAAACTATCTTTACATGTAATTGGAAAAAAAATAAAATACTATTAAGGGAAAAAAGATTTTTTTAAAAAGCTTCAGTGACCTATTCTCTGATTCAAAAGACACATTCTTCTATCTGACATTAAAAACCCTCCTCAACCTAGCTCCCACCTACCTTTCCTATCATTTCATATTACTCCCTTTCATGTGCCACCAATAGGCTATCCCCCAGGCCTAGCACAATACTGTGAAGACAGACATTTAATAAACACTCTTCATTTTGCCTAAAGAGAGGCATCATGGAGTGGGCCTGGAAGACCTGAGTTCAAGTCCTGTCAGGAATCAATGAAAAAAAAAATGAAGGAAGGTGGCCTAGCCATACCAGATCTCACATTTTATTATAAAATGGTAATTATGAAAATAATCTAGTACTGGCTAAATAGAGGGGTGAATCAGCAGAATAGATTAGGTACACAATACATTTTAGTAAATGCCTGTAGTAATTTAGTGTTTAATAAACCCAAAGATCCAAGTTTTGGGGACAAAAATGCTAGGAAAACTGAAAAGCAGTATGGCAGAAACTAGGTATAGAGCAACATTTCACACTGCAAACCAAGATAAAGTAAAAATGGGTACATGATTAGCACATAAACGGTGATACCATAAGCAAATTAGGAGTGCAAGGAATAATTTGCCTGTTAGATCTATGGATAAGAGAAGATTTTAGAACCAAACAACATATGGAGAGGATTACAAAATATAAAATGGATAATTTTGCTTACATAATATTAAAAAGTTTTTGCAAAAGCAAAACCAATGCAACTAAAATTAGAAGGAAAGAAGAAAACAGGAAATTTTTACAAGTATCTCTGATAAAAGCCTCATTTCTCAAATATATAGA